TTTCAGTAAGAAAATAGCTGTAGTACTTTTATGTTCTGGTTTGAGTTAATGACAGTGTTCTTTCTTTTTTTTTTTTTGTTGGTCATGGGGCCTGAACTCTGGGCCCGGTGCTGTCTCTCAATTCTTCAGCTCAAGGCTAGTGCTCTACCACTTGAGCCATAGCCTCACTTCAGGCTTTTTCTGCTTATGTGGTGCTGAGGAATGGAACCCCGGGCCTCATGCATGCAAGGCAAGCACTCTACCACTGATCCAGATTCGAAGCCCCTGACAGTGTTCCTTCTATTAAATTCAACTTTTTAGCCATAGAAGTGTACTTGCTCTTGGCAGAACTTTTGAGAATAAATGGAATTTGGGGGTATATAGTCGAATGGCTGATCTGTCATGATTTCCTCTTATTCCCGTTTTGTGTGCATGGGCTGGTGGCTCTGCCTTCCCCAGGGAGCGGGCACCAGTGAAGGTTTGATGATACGGCAAGTAGAACCTGAGCTGGGAGAATGGTGGAGTGCTTGCCTGCTTGTTAGGCTAGAGACAGTCTGTGATCTCCAGGTGAGATCGCTAAGCTTCCCTTCACTTTCATCTTCCTGCTGTTTATGCTGGCTGTGGAATGCCATGGGGAGACTTTGTAAGACTAATGACGGAAGAAAAAAGATCAAGTGATTATCTTCTCTAAGATGACATTAGTAGTTCCCATATGTAGGTTCCAACTTTTCACAGACAATCATAAGCAGACCAACTGGCTAGAAGTTAGCACCAGAGATTAGGAGAGTCTCATTACCTCTGGATCCCCAAACATGCCCACATGAACACTGTAGAGATGAGCTCACATTTGAGTGATAAACAGTTGTCAACACCAAGGACTGGCCAAGAATAAAGCCAGACAGATTTATGTGCTTGCTGCCGGAAATGATCCAATTAGAGGCCAGAGGAGCTCAAGTGACCACCACACAGTCCACTCAAGACATCACAGGCCCAGCCTGGGGCTCACAAAGGATGCTTCTTTGACCCAGGGTTTCTCACTTTCAATTGTGGTTCACTAGAATTCCCCAAACAGGTGTCCATGTTTTAGAGTGCCACCTCAGCACCTGAAAGAACATGCCCAGAATGCAGCTTCCTCGACTGCAGGCATGGTGGCCTGCAAACTCAGAGAAGCCCTTTGTGACCTTGCTGATGGAGGGGGTGGAGCCTCTCTTTGGAGCAGATGACCTTCAGGAATGCTCACAGATGGACAAGGAACTTTGAAAACAAAAATCAGTATAGGGGCTGGGAAGGTGGTTCAATGGTAGAGTGTTTGCCTCGCATGCATGAGGCCCTGGGTTCGATTCCTTAGCACCACATAAGCAGAAAAAGCCGGAAGTGGCGCTGTGGCTCAAGTGGTAGAGTGCTAGTCTTGAGCTGAAGAGCTGAGGGACAGCACCCAGGCCCAGAGTTAAGGCCCCATTGTTGACAAAAAAAAAATCAGTATAGATCTGTGACACCAGGAAAGAACATTATTTTTTATTTCCACTGGTCTATCACCAAAAGCTAAGTTGAAAGAGTGGAAAAAAATTGAGAGAATGAAAAACAGAATAGACAAGTTTTTTTTTGTTTTTTGTCGGTCATGGGGCTTGAACTCTGGGCCTGGGCGCTGTCCCTCAGCTCTTCAGCTCAAGGCGAGCGCTCTACCACTTGAGCTACAG